AGATATGTTTGGATAATGCATTTTGCTCAAGGACTTTATCCAAAATTAGGAATAGTCTTATTTTATAGATTCCCAAAACAATGCAAGATTTAATCAAGGTCCATTTAACCTCACATTATGTATTTCTATTATATATGTTGAGTTCAGGCTATTCCACAATGGGCAAATTTTGTTCCCTTAAAAATCCAGATTTGGAGTTCTCTCATTGAGTGTGTTTATGGAGGTATTTTAATCTAGTTTTAAAACAGGTAATTGAGGTTAAATGAGGTCATAAGGGCCATACTGGTATCATTATGAGAAGAAGAAATGGAAAGCTCTCTTTGGACAGAGCCTTTAACCAGCATAGGTAAGGTTCTGAGTTCAATCCTATCACACAGTCACATAAACATACATGTGCGTCCATGCATGGGCACACACACACACACACACACACACACACACACACACATGCACACAAATGCTCACGCGCAATCAAAAACAGAGAACAAAGAATATTTACCTTCTCAGAATCCAGCCAGAGGTGCATTTTGTGTGTAAGACTTTTGCCTTAATATCTGTCCACAGTGCAGTGTGGCTGGCCTCCGCCTCTCCACATCTTCCTGCCTCAGCCTCCTGTCACCTGTGGCATACTTCTGGTAATCAGTATGGTGTAGCTAATAGTAGGAGCTACCAGAGTGCTCATGTGTGTGTTAGTGTGTGCATGTATGTGTTTGTGTCGGCATGTGTGTATTTGTGTGTATGTGTGTGTGTTCATGTGTATGTGTGTGTGCACATCTGAAGGCCAGATGACCCTTTCGGGCTGTTCCTCAGGTGTGACACCTTCTTTGGGAGACAGCATCTTCCAATGCCTGGAACTCTCTGGCTGGCTGGCCTTCCTGACCAGTCAGCTGCAGGGATTCACCCCTCTCCATCTCTTGAGTGATGGTGTTACAAACATGAACCATCATTCACACCTGTGGCATACTTCTGGTAATCAGTATGGTGTAGCTAATAGTAGGAGCTGCCAGAGTGTGCATGTGTGTTATCGTGTGCATTTATGTGTTTGTGTCGGCATGTGTGTATTTGTGTGTATGTGCGTGTGTTCATGTGTATGTGTGTGTGCACATCTGAAGGCCAGATGACTCTTTCGGGCTTTTCCTCAGGTGTGACACCTTCTTTTGGAGACAGCATCTTCCAATGCCTGGAACTCTCTGGCTGGCTGGCCTGCCTGACCAGGCAGCTGCAGGGATTCACCCATCTCCATCTCTTGAGTGATGGTGTTACAAACATGAACCATCATTCGCAAATATAATTTTAAAGCAGCGTTCCCCCTCTTTCACTTGGGTTCTGGAATTGAACTTGACCTGGTCGACCCACTGAGCCACTTCCCTAACCCTTATTTCCTTTTGTGTAACAGGGATAAACAACAGTCCAAGCAGCGTCTGCTGATGGTACACTGATGGAAACCTTTGGAAGGAAGTGCTGGTAAGTAGTAAAATGGAGAAATATTTAAAAATTCTATAGCTTACTGATGGAAAAAGGACAATGTATGCTACTGATTCGTAATGTACTTGTGAGTAATTTATACATTTATAGCCAGAGTGATTGCTATCATCTGCTGCTGATCTCATAACAAATTTGCTCTTACAATTTCTAGCTCATCTCATAACAAATTTGCTCTTACAATTTCTAGGTCCTTTCAGAAAATCTCCACTGCAAACCTTCACTAGTGTGATATATTCCTGAGACCTTCCTCACTTGTTCTTAGAAAAATTACTAGGTCGCATTCTTAAGCCCTGTTGTAAGATAGATTCTGTTCAGTTTGCTAAGGCAAATTCTACCTCATTATCTTTCCTTCTTCATGTCCATTTCTCAGATGTTGTTCAAGTCCAAACAGGGCTACAAGACCATGTGCCAAGCTGTCCCCCAGCCACAGAAGACTACAATGACTATTCCTGGTACAAAAGAATTATCCCCCCAAGAGATGCAACAACTTCTAGTGCTTCATGCTTTGAATTTCCAAAGTAATGCCAGAATGGAATAGAGGAAGGACTTCATATCCCAATCAAAGATAAATGACTGGGAACATGGAAATTATATCTCAATAAAATCGTACCTGTATTTTAGTTTATTGATCTATTTTCTGAGACCCTTCAGCAAAGTATTTGTTAGTTGGGGACATCAAAAACTAACTGAACATTAAACACCAAGACATTTTCTTGAAATTTCCCTGATTCTTGAGCTGTGTGACGTGCCTTCATGTGGGATACAGTCATTTCTTTCACACAGACTTCCCCTTTGCCTGAAAGACTTCAACTCCATCAGTCTCTAATGTTTATCCAATGGCAATGTCACCAACTGTGGCCTAAAGAATTTAAAGAGTCAGTGCCAGGAGTGGCCTTTCAGTAATATTCACTAAGCTGGCAGAAGAACAGCTGAATTCTCTCCTTGAAGAACTACTGAGCACAGGCGAAGAGAAAACAGATTTGTAGCACTCACCCAGCACAGTCCTGTGAGGCTGCAGGGGGCCTGGGCAGAGAAGTTCCACTCCTAACCACCAAACCCATGAATTCCCAGACATCCATAAAAGTGCTTAATCATCTATATTAGATGAAGTTCCCAATATTTTGGGTTGGTCTTGGAATCTGTCTCACTATCACAGGTCCTAAACTCAAAAAAGGGAGCTAAGCCTGTACTCTGTGATCATGGCTCTGCCAGAACCCTTGGAAATTCCTGGGTGTTTTTCTAGTCCCACCTTGGTATGCTCCTTTCCCACAGCTCCTGGATCAGACCATCTCTGCTCTGTTAGGACCCTCATGGACCACCAGATCTATGGTCTTTCCAAGACCTGCCTTGGTAAGTCTCCTTTCCCTCACCTCACTGGGATCCAGTATTGTATCTCAGACCTTCCAGGACACTTGCATGCTATTGGGAGCATTTCCAGATCTGACTTGTATTCAGATATGTTTGGGTTACTACAATTCTTGGGCCCCCAAGACCCTTGAGTTCTCCCAGCCTCACATATCAGACAACCTGTTCACCTCACAATGACCCGGTGAGGGTCTTGAATCATGAGTTGACCTTGGAACTTAAACTCAAAGTTGCACCTATGCTCAGCATAATGGAGACCACTTTTTATAACCTGTTTGCACATCAATCAAAGTGGTCCCCAAGATAAACATTCAGCCCTACTCAGGTGGGCCATAATCTGGTAAGTTGGGGAAACACCAAATACAAATAATCACTTGAAAAAGACAAGATCTCCTACTCATACCAAGAAACACCACCAATAATACAAGTCCATTGAAAAGGACAAGCTAATTGAATAAAAAAGATACTGTGTGTACTAGGGCAGTTCATCCTCCCATTGTGAAGTGTCTAGAGCACGGCAAAGTAGCGAATGCATAACAGGAAGATTTCAAAGTAGAAATGATAAACATATAGAAGTAATTCAAAAGGATATGTATTTAAAGGGTGTGTTCCATAGTAAGTTGACCTGACTCCAGAGGATGAACTCACACCGAAGAACACTGGGTAAAGAAACCTGACTCTGTAAGCATTAGTGTGTGTGTGTGTGTGTGTGTGTGTGTGTGTGTGTGTGTGTGTGAAAGGGGGATTCTGATATGGGAGGGGATCCAAGTGTAATCAAAATATGTTGTGTGAAGTTTACAACAATTCAATAAAAAATGTGTTAAAAACAAACAGAAATCAACGAAAAAAAACCAAAACAACTGAACTAAAAACTGGATAATGAAAATGTGGTACATTTACACAATGACATTCTACCCAGCGGTAAAGAAAAGTGAATCCATGAAATTTGCAGGTGAATGGATGGAACTGGAAACTGTTATGCTAAGGGAAGTGACAGAGACTCAGTAGAATAAGTTGCATATGTTTTTCTCATTTGTTGATCTGAGCTCCAAAGCCCTAGATGTGAGTATATAACCTGATTCAACCATAGGAGTCAGGAAAATAGAAAGGAAAAATGGGATAAATTGGGAAAGGAGCTCAGGACAGGTGGATAGTAGGAGATAGTTGTTGTTAAGGGGAAAGGGGCATATTTTAACTGGAGAAAGAGTAGGGAGCATTATACAGGTGGAGTGAGAGGCGAAATAATGGATGCTTAGATGATATGAAAAATTACCACAATATGGCATTAGTTCAAAGTCCTATTGAAAAATACACATACAATAAACATGAGTGTACGTGTATAACTAAAGACTATATGAAAAGAAAAAAAATGAAAAAACATACAATGCCAAGCGGTAGACCCTCCCTTCGAGTTGTTTGTCTGGGTAGTCTAAGTGACTCCCAGAGTAACACAGACTACAACCACAGCCCTTGATTGTCTCCCAGTACCTGAAGGTAAGACCCTATTGCTGAAGACAGGACAGACTTCAAGACAGGACATGGAGCAACTGAGCTAGAACTGACCTGGAAGCCTCCTCCTTGAAGACTAGCTCTCATGGTACCAGAAATACTGTACAAACTGCCAAGGGAGATAAACCAATCAATGGACAAGCCCAGCTGTAAAACCTAATAAACATTGACTGTCCCAGCAAACCATCCCTTCTGGTGTGGTAGTGGCACATTTATCTTGGGGGTAAACAGATGTTTAATTGGAATTAAAGTGCACTTGATGGGAGGGAACTCATGTGTGGTACTGTAAACAGAGCCAGATATGCATGGCTAGAGAGGTCATAGATCCTAGAGAAAAACTTACTTTTGCGACATTCCTGGACAAACATAATTTTCTTTGAAATAACTCCTTATGTTTTATTAGATAATGATTGAATTAAACTAGAAAAAAACAGTAACATATATTATATAAAATATACAAGCACATGAATACTGAATAATGCACATTTGAACAATCAGTGGATTACCAAAGAAGTTAATAAGGAAATTTTATAGTTCCTAGAATAAAATGGAAATGGAAACATGACATATTAGACCCTGTAGGATACAGTGAAAGTTGTTCTAAGAAGGCCGTTGAGTCATAAATATCTACATTAAACAACCAGCGATCCCATATAAATAACCTGATGATGCACTTCAGTGTCTTTCCTTTTTTTGCATTTTTAATGCAATCTTTATTATTTGAATATGCAACAAACAAAAAAAGAAGGAAAAAAGATCCTAGAGAGGAGTTCCAGACATGTAGTTTTCTTATTGTTGTAGGATATGCACACTTCTTTTCACAGATTCTTTTCTCTAACAGCCTTTACTTGTACTGATTTTTAATTTAATTTAATTTAAAAAATATTTTATTTTTATTATTTTTTAAATTTTTACTGAATTTTGTGTATTTCATAAAGAACATCTAAATCATCTTTATACTCCCATACCCACTGACACCCTCCCATAGCCCCCTCACTTGATTTCATGGACCCTTCCACTTGTGTTAAGGCTTATCAATCAAGTTAATGTCTCCAGACATCTCTCAGTGCAAGTGCATCCCCTGAGGTCCAGTCAGCCTGTGTAGAGTCCCTCCCTTTAAGAAGATAAGCTTTTCCTCACCCAGCAGTGATCAGCTGCCAGTAGTTCTTCAGATAAGACTGGGGCCTGATGCCCGTTTCTCCAGTTCTGTGCTGGGTTTATGTCTGCTTCAGTTTGCATGGGCCTTGGGCATGCTGACACCATTGCTGTAGGTTCATATGAGTAAGGTCTCGGGAGCCTGTAAGACTCTGTTTCCATGTGGTCAGGTACCTCCTCCCTGGCTCTTACAATCTTTCTGCCCACTCTTCCTCAGTGGTCCCTGAGCCCTGTGTGAGTGGAGTTTAATACAGGAGTCCTGTGCAAGGATCCACCTTCTACAGACTTATTTCTATGCTTCTTTGTGTTCCTGGTCCTCTGTCGCCTGAGGGCATTGGATCTATGAGAGTTGAGAGATTTATTAGTATTCTCTCTACCCCTTGTTTCACTAGGTTCCGTGAGCCTTAGATGTAGAAGTTGCATTGTAGATGTGTCACTTAGACTGGGGCAATTCACAGATAATCTCTTGGGGGATCCTTCCCCACAAACAGCGTGATGGGGGCTGAGGAGGGGTGAGTGCACTGCCATCCCAACCCTCCGTTCCCGAGGCACCACCAAGGAGGCAGGGAGTCTTGTCCAGCAGGCTCTCGTTTATTAAGCTTTAAGCAAGTGTTTATATACCTTTATGAGCATTGAGTGTCCCGCCCCTCTTTTTCCCAGAATATGATTGGTTATGATCATAGAACCCAATTAGCATCTTAGGTTTCGGTTTCCCAGGTCTGC